GCCGCCACCCCCGTCCCGCCCGCCGGCAGGGCAGCCAGCAGAGGCAGGGAGGACTGCTGCTGGGCGCCGGCATCGAGAACCATCGTACGGAATCCACAGGGCAGAAAGCTGTGCACGGGGAACAGGCAGCCAGCGGGGCAGGTGTGGGATGCGGGCACCCGTGGGACACGGGCATCCGTGGGATGTGGGCACCCATGGGACACAGACACCCATGGGACGCGGACACCCGTGGGACAAGGCAACCTTGCCTCTGTGGGTGCCCAGCGGGCAGCCACAAACACCCCCACAGAGGAGGAACCCCTAAACCTGTGCTCTGTGCTGAGCTCTTACAAGCAAAATAAGTTTACTTCCACCCCTCTACGCAACTGGTTTAATCGGTTAGCCCAGAGCCATCATAAGGCGTGATGTACACACACATATATGCACATTTCTGTTCACAAAAGTGTCAAGAACAAAAGCCACCAGCCCTGAAGCGAGAAAGGCGGATTTTTAAGTTTGTTCTGTTGTTATTTTAGAAACAGTTTTGGACAATTACGTAGGGAGAGTATTCACATGCCCTGCTTGGTCTGCGTCTGCCTTCCGTGTGCCCTGTGGCTCAGAGGGGCACAGGCACCCCCAAAGCGCCAGCAGACCCTGCCAGCTGCCCTCCCCAGAGCTCCCCGAACCGCCCGAGTGACGCCCGCAGCAGCTCAGGCTTCACGCACAGAGACCCCTGCACTGTGGCAGATGAATTCCAGCACTGAGCAGATGAGGGCAAACGCACGCGCAGAAGTTTAACGCAAAGCAGGCTCGCAGCGCGGAGCGAGGCAGCGCGGAGCAGGGCAGCCCTGCCCGCCCCGATCCCATCGCAGCCCCTGTTGCTGAGCCTGAAGAGCGAAAGCAAAGGATGGAGGTTGCTTTCAAACAAGCCGTTCCTCCCTGCAGTCATCCCTTCTCCGCTTTCTCTGGAAATGGTTTCACCTTCTGCGCCTGACCCTCCTGAGAACGTCAGAGCTTCCCAATGGCTGGCTCGTGTTTCACTCTACAAGGCAGAGGCGGCAGAATCACAGAATCACAGAATGGTAGGGGTTGGCAGGGCCCTCTGTGGTC